AAAAAAATCAGTAGCCCTTCTATATACAATTGACAAACAGGCTGAGAAGGAAATCAGAGATACATCATCCTTTACAATAGCCACAAATGATATTAAATACCTTGGAGTAACTCTAAGCAAGTGAAGGACCTATATATTAAATTATGATGAATTTTTGCGTGAGTGATCTCCCCATTGATTTGAAGTTAGGTGTTCAGAACTCCAATTCTTACTGTGGTAGAGTCTCTTATTCACATCCAATATTTGTGGAATATAAATGAATGTTATGTATTATAGTGATTTCCATTTGTCAAACTGATATTTTTGTAAATATATAGTGATCTTAGAGATCATATTTTACACGCTTAAGTTAATTCTATTTTTGACACTTATAAGTGTATCTACTACTTGTAGTATGCTTTTGTATATGTATTTTCCAATATTCATGCAAGTGTTTGTTACCTATGAAGTAATTTTCTTATATATAGAGTCTCATGATTAGATGCTTGTTTGAATTAGTCTGTTTGATTTAATTAAGGAATTTGACATGTTAACATTAATTATATTTCTTGTTTGTGTATCTATCAGGCCTTCACTCTTATTGTTTATTTTTGAGTTGATAGAATTCTTATGGCTAAGTTGACTGGTAAAAGCACTATTGAAAGAAATATTTGGGTATATCTGTGAGGGAAATTCCAGAAAAGAATTAACTTCTCAGTTCTCCATGATGTGGGGTGTCCCTCCCACATGATCCCCTCACATTCACTCCTATAGACCTTGCTTGCACTGATGGGTATGACCCCTTCAAATCACGGGACAAAATACACCTGTGTTACCAAAATTTGGATTTGGTGAAAGACTCCATCAATGTGATGAGACATTGACTACTACAGGTAGCTTCTATAATGAAAGAAGGTCTCTAGATGATGCCTTCTAGAGTTATTTGAAAATCTATAGCTTCTTCAGAATACCAAGGCACACAAAAGATACAGGCAGCTCACATGTCAGTATCCAAGACCTGCCTGGGCAACCTTACAGAGATTGCTAATCTCAGGATGAGTGGCCATGGTGTCTCCTTGAGAGCAGGGAATATATGTACATATATATATTAATATTTATTAATAATATATTTTAATAATATAATATTAATAATATATACATGTCTCCATCTATTACTCAAGGTCTTTGTGGACTAAGATTCTGATAAGAAGCTATTCAGCTTCTTCTTGGGCTTTTGATAAACCAGTGGACATGTAAGTCGAAGCAACTGGATGCCTTATGAGAGAATATCACTCAGGCAAGTCTATTCAGTTGCTTCCCTAGGGACATGTGTAGGAGGAGGCTCTTGCATATCTGCTTCCCAGGGCTTCTGTCAGTCAAGTGAGTTAGGCACACTGTCAAGCTATTTTAGAAATTATATATAAGTGAATACATTAATCAACATTCTTACAAAAACTCTTGAAAAATGATACCCAGAAAATACTTATAAACTGTGTAATTACTGCATCTTGTGTTCTGTGTTGAGAAGAAAGTTGAGACTAACGTTGCACTAAACCAGTGTTATTGCTACTATTCAAAACTCTTACAAACAGAAAAGTTATGCAAAGAGTTAACTGACCCTCAATTTGCTTTATTGTAAAACATGACATTAAACACTCATATGCAAATATGAAATAATGAATATTTGCTTTTACTATCTCTAGTTAGTTCCGAAGTTCAGTGCAGTCAATTAGTGTATTTGCTTTAACCAACTTGGGTTATATTTTAACTCATGGCTGTTTTTCATCTTAGATATAAGGATGAGCAATGACAAAAAGGAACACACTGTGAACAGAGGATTTGATTTCCTAGGATGCCTGTGAAGTGGATGTCTGTTCTGCTGCTCCTGCAGATGAGTTCCTACTTCAGATCTGGGTATTGTGGGAAGGTGTTGGTATGGCCGATGGAATTCAGTCATTGGATGAATCTGAAGATAATACTGGATGAACTTGTACAGAGGGGTCATGAAGTGACAGTTCTGAGACCTGAATCTTCTATCTCTGTTGATCCGCAAAAATCACCTAGCCTGAAGTTTGAGTCTTATCACACATCTGTCAATAAAGATGATTTGGAAAAGTATTTCAACAGGCTTGTGGATATATGGACTTATGAAATACCAAGAGATACATGTTTATCATACTCACCTTTGCTACAAAACCTGATGGATGAATATTCTGATTACTTTCTAAGTCTTTGTAAAGACACAGTTACAAACAAACAACTTATGACAAAACTACAGAATTCCAAGTTTGATGTCCTTTTCTCGGATGCCATTGGCCCCTGCGGGGAGCTGATAGCTGAACTTCTCCAGATCCCTTTTCTGTACAGTCTTCGCTTCACTCCTGGTTATACAATGGAAAAGTACAGTGGAGGATTTACACTCCCGCCCTCCTATGTACCTATGATTCTGTCAGGATTAGGTGGGCAAATGACATTCATGGAGAGGGTAAAAAATATGATATGTATGTTTTATTTTGACTTTTGGTTCCAGACATTTAATGAGAAGAAATGGGATCAGTTTTACAGTGAAACTTTGGGTAAGTTATGTTTCTTATCAGGAACTCATTGACCTAAATTTTCCAAGCATTTAAATGTATTATGTCTGTGAAATACAAAGTGAAGCTGTCTTTTATAGGTGATCCAATGTAATACGATATTAGCTACCAAACTCACAAACCCTGTAAAAGCTCACGATATTGATCAAATAGAAGCAGGCAGCAGTCCTGACATGGGACATTCTGGTGAGCTAGACTGTAGCAAAGAGATGGAAGCAGACTTCCCTAAGTGATTCTTTACTCATCTGACTGTAATTTTTTCATCTGTTTTAATAAGTCACTAGCTAGTTAACCAAATCTTGATTACTGTAGATTACAGGATGACATATTTTACTGTTTCAATATGTATATGACATCCAAGAAATCATTGTCTTTTACACAGGCCACTGTCTTTATTTAAAATGAAAATGTGGGATCTGAAATCATGACAAAAGGTGGAGTGTTTTCTGTTCATTTTGAGTACCTGAGTTCTGTTCCTAGCACCCACCCAGGTTCAGTGGCTCAAAATTGCCTGTAACTTTGGTTTCAGGGAGCTGCTGCCCTTTTATGGCATCTGCAGGCACCTGAATAAGCATAGCACCTACTCACACAGACACATCAAGAAAAATATAAATCCTAAAATATTTTCTGTGTATTTTCTAGAGAATTCCCTTATTTTTGAAAGATACCATGTCAATTCACAAGCTTAAAAATGGAACTGAGGTTCCTGCCAATGCCACGTCCTTTATTGTATGCTTTCCTGACATCCACTGTTTAAACACCACAAAAGCAGGGACACTCATGCAGTCGGTCTTTACTTTCTGAAGTCATGTTTTATTCTCTTAAAAAATGCCATGGTTAAGACTGGCCATAAATTCCTATTGTTATATTTTCTGAAAATATTGATATTGTTTTTATAGGATAAGTACTGTTAATTTTTTTAATATGAAACCGAAGTAGAGACACTAACGAGAAATTCAGACATTCATCAACTTTACAGCTCCTTAGGCAAAACAAGGAAGAAGGACTAACTACAAACCACAGTGACCCTGGGGAAGTCTGCGCAGGGTACACAATGTGGTGTGACTTTTGGACCTGAAATGAGTGCTTATATTTATACTGTTCCTTTTGAAGTTTTAGGGAGGAGTAAGTGTGTGCCCATTCATATAGTGGCTTAGTAGGTTTTTTCATTGACTATTTATTATTTTAAATTACTGGGGAAACATGAGGTAATTCTTACAGTTTGCTTTAAAAATAAACCCACAGTGACATTTATGTATATTATGTGAGCCACAAATGAATTACACATGCAAATTATGTTACATGTCAATAAACACTGGTTCTAAAATGCACATGTTCTACATCAATAATAACTTTTTTCATTTTTAAGAAAATGTGTTTTATATTCAGATGACAATCCCGTCAACTTTTCTCTTCCTCATGTGCTCATTTTCTTCATCTAGGGAAGCCCACTACCTTCGCTGAGACAGTAGGCAAAGCACAAATGTGGCTCATTAGATCCTACTGGGATATGGAGTTCCCTAACCCAACTTTACCAAATGTTGACTATGTTGGAGGACTCCACTGCAAACCGGCAAAACCCTTGCCTAAGGTAAATATGCTTTTGTGATCTCTTTTTCATTTGATTTGATTTCTGGTGAAAGTGATTGAACACTTCTCCTTATATTTTTCTCCCAGTGATAGAGAGATATAGGAAGTGGAATTAAACATCCTGCTAACTAGTTCAATAAACTCAGGAAAGAATGTGATAGACCTGGGAAATATTCCTATCAGTAATTTAAATTAAGTCAATTAGGGTACTTGGTGGTTAGCAATTTGGTAATCCTTAGCAAGCAACTATGAGGATGTAAGTTTCATTCCCAATACCCATGTAAAAAGCTGGGTGACCCCACACATTACTATGAATTAGTACTGAGGTTGCAGAAACAGGTTGATACTGGAAGCTTGCTGTCCACTATTCTGTTAAAAATGGTGAGATTTGTGTTCAATGTGAGACAGTCTCAAAAATTATGTTAAAGATTGATAGAAGAAGACATCAGATTTTAACATTTGGCATCCATATGCTAAAGCAAAGACAGGGAAGCAAGCCAGCATTCACACACACACACACACACACACACACACACACACACACACACACACATACACTGAACAGATGTGCTCAACACATAAGCACATACACATACACAAACACACGTGCAAAATGCACAAACACATATAAAACCATTCACAAAAGATACAAAAATTAAATTAGTTAAACTCATCGTATCACTATTAATCATCAAAAGCTATGATGAACATATATCCAAGGTAATTGTGATATCTAGAGAAACAACATAGACATAGTTTTTAATCCAACCAGTAAATTGTGGAAGTCATCTCTGAGAATACCCTATTTATGCACAATATCAGGAAATTATGTAGTACATGTTTACCACGAACATGATTATTTCTCAAAGAACCAAAACATTTTATTAATCATAATAGGGAGTTTGTGTTAACTGCCACATACTTACATACTACAACAGAGATATTATTTGATTAAATACTAGTTAATAATATTAAATAAGCTATTAGAGGAGAAAAATGAAATAGCAAGGGGAAAATGTCACCCTTTCTGTAGGATGAAATCATGTAAATGAAGATATAGTGTAGCTAGAGTTTTCCTGCCTTGCCCACAGTCAGGACAAATCCCTGTCACCCGCCAGTCCCACAGCTGCTCAGACCCAACCAAGTAAACACAGAGACTTATATTGCTTAAAACTGTATGGCCGTGGCAGGCTTCTTGCTAACTCTTTTTATAGCTTAAATTAATCCATTTCCATAAATCTATACCTTGCCACGTGGCTGGTGGCTTACCAGCGTCTTCACATGCTGCTGGTCATGGCGGCGGCTGGCGGTGTCTCTCTCCGCCTCAGCCTTCTGCTTTCCTGTTCTTTTTATTTCTCCTCTCTGTTAGTCCCGCCTATACATCCTGCCTAGCCACGACCAATCAGGTTTTATTTATTGACCAATCAGAGCAACTTGACATACAGACCATCCCCCAGCACAGCCAAGTGCAGACCATCTCAGACACCTGCACTCAGGCCCATGGTCCTAATCATCCTCCATGTGGACCTGCTGGGCAAAGCCACGAGGAACCCAAGAAGGGCTCCCACAGGACATACAGAACATCCCACAGCAATATAGTTTTATGATTACTTCATATATGATGCTTGCACTCTTGAGTTTTAATTTTGCCAGAGGAAAATATTTAGAATGTTTGAGGCGTAATGTGTGAGTACACGCTGTATTGATGCCTACGAAGTTCAAAGACTTTGACATTGCCATTTTTGTCTTCTGTATGTTTTAACGCCACTATTCTAAAAATTCCTAAGAACAATTCAATTTTTATTCTCCTAGTTTTTCGTAGAGGTTTCATAAATAACTTTTCTTTAATTGTTATTTAGTCATGAAACAAATTCTCATCACAGGAAATGGAAGACTTTGTCCAGAGTTCTGGAGAGCATGGTGTTGTGGTGTTTACTCTGGGGTCAATGGTCAGAGACATGATAGAAGAAAAAGCCAATGCAATTGCGTGGGCCCTTGCCCAGATTCCACAAAAGGTGAGGTAAAGTGTTCCATGTTCACATACTAAGTCTGTGAAAGTCCTTGAAGTTCTGATTATAGAAATGACTGTGTGAAAGGTAAAGTTGTGAGAAAGCTCTCATCTACCTTAGCCACATTTAGAAACAGATATTCACAACAGATGAACAATGCTACAGAAGGTGTTTTTGACTGAGAGTGACTTGCATAAAACACGATGATCACTGTGGGCATATTCTGAAAGGCTGACTTGATGGTGACTCACTATCCAGAGTACGTAGATAGCCAAATGCATCAGAGTCCCTTATTGTGTTTGTTGAATATTTAAAGTTGCTGCATACATTAGATTTTGCAGGAGGGCACCTTTATTATTTATTATTTCTACCAGAATAACAGTAAGCAGGTATTGAAAAAGTTGGGAACGTAGCATGACTCTACATTATAACTTTCGAGTAGGCCTCCTCAGTGTACAGGTTGTGAGGGCCATTTAAAGGAAGGGAGTCCCAGGCTCACCAACTCTCAATCAGAGTATATTTTTGACTAATTGAAAGGAAGACAGTTAAAAAAAATATCTTTCAGTCTAGTCTCAACCAGACTGCCAATATGTGGAGAAGAAATAGATAAAGGAAAGGTAGAGATGGGAGCTTCCCTCACAGTGATCTCTGTGCATCATAAAAGATGAAAGACAGGACCCTGCTTGTCACCAGTCAGAGTGAAGCTCCTACCATTCAAGGAAGAAATATGAAAATAAAGACAGAGTCCAGAGGAACTTAACGTTAAAAAAGTTTCAGAAGACGCACTTCATAAAACATACCACAAACTAATTTCCTATGAATTAAATTTGCATATTTATGAACATTTTTACCTTTTGTAGAGTAACAGCCTCTCTTTAATCACTTATATTAATTTTTCAATCCTTTACATAATTCAGTCACATAACAAATTCTTGTTAGTCATGTGGATAATGTCAATTTTATGAGATTGAGAATTCTAACATTAGCTGCTATCATAGGCTTTAGTTTGGGACTGGTTTTCATGTCACAGAACATTTTGAACTCTGCAGGAAAATCTGCAATTCATCATAAGGCCTACATACCAATCAGTGGGACATAAAGTAGTGTCATTAGTTTTGGAGATATTTTTCAATAACATCACCTATGAATAGCAAATTATTTACAGTAGACTGCAAAGAATCCTTGCAAAGATTAATATGCTCATCAATATCCAAAGCAGTTCCAATCCTGGCCCCAAATAAGCTAATAATTTTAGAATGCCCTGATGAACCTCATAAAATGTAGCATTTACTACATGTTTAACATCTATTTGCTACATCTAATGAACTTCTGAACAAGAGATATGGCTCAGTGTGTTAAATGTTTTCAGTGCAGTGTGATCAGCTCAGTTTTAATCCCCAAATCCCATTGAAGTCAGGAATGATACTGAATGTTTCTGTAATACCAACATTCCTATCAGAAATAGAAGGCAGAAATAGGAGAATTCCTGTGGGCCAGAAGTAGAAAAAAAAAAAAACAACCAAACAAACAAACAAGAGATTCTGTCTCCAAAAGGAGAGACTTCAGAATGAATACCTGAAGAAGGTAGTCTTCTCCATTCCACACAATCACCTTGGAACTCTTAAACAGCATTAACACACACGAATTGGCTCATATATACTACAACATAACCCAGAACACCCAGGGAGGGAAAGAGAGAATGAGGTAGAGATGGGGGAAGATATTTCCAATCTCAGCGACAATCCAATAATGTGGATTCACCTTCAAAATTCTATATGCAATTTTCCTGCCATTAGTGACTAGACATTTGTATATTGACATTAAGATTCTTAGAATCCTAAAGCAAAATTGACTTCTCGTGAAAAAACAATGATTGCTTAGATTTGAATTGATGTGAATCAAAAATGTGAACAAAACTTGTGCAACTAAAAACAGATCAAATCTGATCATGGAGAGGGGAGGTATATATACAATACCACCCAAAGCCATGGAACTATTGACAATAATTAGCATGTGAGAGAGGAAAAGAATAGCTCCTGACAAGTCCATCATTCTCTACTGGAAGACCACACATCCTAGAATATTTAGAGTGCACAATTGACCAATTGTGTTGAAAGATTATTTTTTTTAAGGTCACTAAGTGGAGTGGATAGGGAAGGGGTAGTTTAGGGAATATTGGAGTGGGGAAGTGAATATGATAAAAGCACATTATATGAATGAAATGAAATGTCACTCTCACTTGGTGTGGTCATAGTCATCATTTAGACAGCAGATGGAGTTCCAAAGTGTAGACAATGTAGGCATGTTGTGAGCCTGTTTCTCCACAGAAATTGCTCTACAAAGAACATAAGTCATTTTGGGTGAAAATGATACAGTAGGTTTAATGTCTTGTTTTAAAACCTATACTATCACCATCCAGAGTTAGTTGCACTTAGAAGAATGGAGCCTATAAGTGAATCAGACTAAAGTTTCATGAAATAGCCAACTTTATGCAGAGAACTCTGAGAGTTAAGAAACATGAGTTAAGATCATGTAAGTTGAAGCTCTATACAATCATAATGACAAGCCATGTGTGGCAAAAATATATCTTCCACAGAGGCACCAAAAGGACAGTTTAAACATTCTCTGGATGACAATGGCAAGCAGTCGTGGCTAACCTGAAGTTCACCCACTCCTATCTGCTACACCTGGGAGGAGAACAAAAATACATTCCAGGAAATAATAGGATGAACGATGAAATTAAAACAGTTTCCTATCCTTCCATAGTAATGCATAAATGAAATTTGAAAATCTATGGAGTTCAGAAACTCTCTTTAAAACTTATTGTTATTTAGGGGTAATATAATACATCAAGACTCAAATCCATATAATTTTGACATTGGGTCCTTCTCTCATTTACTAATTGAGCAAGAAGAGTAAGGTAAGCAGTTAGTATTTTATGGCCCTTATGGTGTAAATAAACCCATCCCAACGGCTTATCCTCTTGTGCTATACTACCTGAAGGAAACAATTTAGTGGTCAAAATAAGTAACTTTAAGGCAGCAAAGGATCTACATATACGCATATGCCTCCTTTCTTTTCTTTTCTTTTCTTTTCTTTTCTTTTTTTTTTTATATTTATTATGTACACAGTATTCTTCCTGCACGTGTCCCTGCAAACCAGAAGAGGGCACCAGATCTCATTACATGTGGTTGTGAGCCACCATGTGGGTGCTGGGAGTTGAACTCAGGACCTTTGGAAGAGCAGCCAGTGCTCCTAACCTCTGAGCCATCTCTCCAGCCTGCCTCCTTCATTTTCAATGCAAAAGCTGTAATTCTTCCCTTGCCTCTCTAGATAAAATAAAGACTGCTCAATGCTGTCTCTCCTTTCAGAGATTTAATAGATTGGTTAGCACATAATATAGTATTCCTAGACTAGAGGATTCCTAGTAGGCAATTAATATTTCCTAATAATAGTTGAATGTCATTCTTGAGTATTATTAAATTGTTGAGTCTAAAGGACATTTGTAGGGGGCAGGGGTGGTGGTTCTTAGCACTTGTTCTAGTAACTAGTTACCCAAAATATTACACAGTCCATGATCATTGCACCTTTTGAGGTATAATAATAAGCCTATTTTTTTTCCTTTTTTTTTTTTTTTTTTTTTTGAGACAGGGTTTCTCTGTGTAGCTTTGCACCTTTCCTGGAGCTCACTTGGTAGCCCAGGCTGGCCTCGAACTCACAAAGATCTGCCTGCCTCTGCCTCCCAAGTGCTGGGATTAAAGGCGTGCGCCACCACGCCCGGCTAATAAGCCTACTTTTATGTAGCACATGTTGAATCAAGTCATATATGGATTACAGCTCTTTCTTTTTGGGAGTTACTAACAGGATATCATCCATATAATGAATAATATAGAATGAAAAAATAAAAAGGAAGGGGAAGCACATGACTGTCCCTAGGTATGGTGAAAGAGAAGGTTTATTATAGATATATGAGAGAACATAGCCAGAGGCAGGGACAGGGACAGGGGGAGTCCAGAGCGGACATGAACAGACTGAGCTGTGCCATGTGAGGGGAGGGGAGAGGTGAAGGGAAAGGGTAGAGAGGGGACCAGATAGCCAAAGGTACAAAACAGAGCAGGTAACAATAATGGTTGGGTTATATAGGGAAGAACAGCATAGTCCTCTGGGCTGGAGAGTTCAGAAAAGGGGCCAGATTATACCAGCCAGGAGAGCCCTGTGACATGTAGAAACTGAGGGATTGCCAGGCCAGCCTTGAAATGTGAAATAGGCACCTCAGCCATTTGTCCCAGGTTTAAAACCTAATAAATATAGGCCTCAGGTAGGGCCTCCCTCACAGGCTCTAAAAGCTTTCCTACATAGTATTGACATGTAATAGAGGATTTGCCATGCCTTGAGGGTAATACAGTCAGTCCATTGATATCAGAGCTGAGGTCCTTTATGATTGAGTGAGGAACAGAAAAGGCCAAATATACCTTATTATCAGGATGAATGTGTATAATATAAGCAATCTTTTTAAATGCAAAACTCTTAAAGGCCAATCTTTAACAATAGCTGTCTGTAGGTAAAACTGGCTGTAAACTCCCATTGGCCACATGGTGGTATTAACATTTCAGAAGTCAATAAACCAACTCCATTTATCAGATTATGTTTTAATTACAAAAACAGGAGGATTCCTGGGAGATAAAGAGGGCTCTATGTGCCCATTCTCCACTGTTCTCTGACTAACTTGTGACGACCCCATAACTTTTCTCTTACAAACAGGCTATTAGGTGTCCAAACAGAGTCACTAGATTTTTATATAATTTTTGGTTTCTATGAAAAACCCAAGCCATGCTTTTGATCTTGTCCATGTGGGAATATAGGTTCCCTAGTCCCTTTAACTCTTTTCATAGTCCTTTTCATTTTTGGTAACCCAATCTTTTCATCAGCAATTGCGATTGTGAAGAATGGGCAGCCTGAAAGTCCGGCATATAGATTTCTGCATGAGTTTGTTATAGAAAGTCTCT